TATTAGTATATATAATATAAAATACAATTGAATTCACTTCATACCGACTATAATTAAAATCAACTGACACTATTTTCAAAAATTTTGACTAGATATTCTGGACTCCATTGATGTACAAGAAATGTCTGCGATTACGATATTATATCAGAAAACTCCTGGTTCTCACATAACTTTTGTAGCACTAAACATACCTTAAGAACTGCAATATCGTTATATGTAGTAGCATACGTGTAAATGCCCCGATGCCGGTGATTGTAAAGTGGATGTAAAAAAATTGCCCTAACATGCCTATGTTGTACATGCATAGGATCTCTATCATGAATGATCAGTAGATTGTTGCGTGTTTTATTATAAACACATTGAGCACTTGTAAGGATGTGCACGTTACTTATAATGGTACCTGAACACTCAGGCATGATTCCTTTTATCCTGACCATATAGTAAAAACCGGATGTAACTGGCATTCCTCTATATATAGCATCTCCATCTGCAGATTATAAAAATTATTTAGTTTTGTAATAATCAATAATTCAAATTTACTTTACTCACACTGAAAAATTGACGTGAAAATGAGCCATGAACAAATTAATAGTGAGGACATTTTAGAAGACGAGTATCACTTAATAGATTGTCAACGTTTTTGAGCTCCTGACGGGAATACCACAGTATTTATAGTCAGTTAATGGGCTAGTGTTAAAGAAGATTTTTAATGTAATTTTTATGGGAAATTTGAATATGCATAGACATGTGTCGCTGGAATTTTTCAACACTTGCATATTTTTCACTGAATCTTTAAACAATCTTTAGCATTAAAAATGTATTGTGCAGGGGACAAATTTGTGAAACATGTTAATTGTTCGTTTAATTGTTCTCCGGGAAATCGTGAAGAATCTATGGCATTCATGATAATCTATCCGTCTTTGGGATTGGCGTAAATTTTTCCCGGAAATTGATAAATATTTATTATTCATTCGATTGATGTTAAAGTTTTTGTCACATAGAAAATTATTCAAAACGTTACCTTGGGAAACTTTTTTCACAATTTCAGTTTTTTAATTTTTCTGTAGACTTCACGAATTTTTTATAATTTTGGCGGTTAAAACAACGCCTCAATTGACATCAGCGACAATTGATGTCACGCATTACCAGAATATGAAAAACAGTAAACTGCTGATTACATAAAGATATAGAAGTATAGATGAGTAGCGATTGCCAATTTGTAAAAACCAGAAATTCACAGATTAAGTGAAGATAATAAAAATCGTCAAGAAATGATTTTTTCGCCCATTGTAGAAGGTAATATTCTTATTGATGCAAATAAAAGCTGAAAATATAAAAATACCATTGGAGTGTTCATCTGCAAATTATTAAGAATGCGAGGATGGGTTGCAATTTTCCGCTGTGGTTTCTTAACTGATACTACTTATGTTTCATAACAAGTGCGGAAAAGTGATTCGTGGGGTGTGAGAGTCATATGCCAAAAACAACTTTCTGCCCGAGTTGCGAACAATATTTCTCTTCGCGATGTGCGAGAAAGTCACTTTTCGGCACATCGTGATAAAAAAAATTATAAAGTTTCAATGGCTGTGGAGGGGGAAATTGTGAGCCCCATACATGCGTGACAGCGTATCCGAAACGCTAACTTGGGTGATACGCTATCGCGTATGTTGAGATATATACTGTGGGGCCGTGAGGCCATAGGCCCGTGGGGCCGTGGGGCCGTGGGGCCGTGGGGCCGTGAGGTGGCCGGTGAGAGGCATGAGACACTTCAGGGCTCGGAGCTCAGAGCTCAGTGCTCAGTGCGGCGCAACGCGCAGGCCCCTGTACACGCGTCTCCCCGTTGCTCCCGTCTACGCAGGTACAAACATTCCATACCCATCACTCCCTCGACTCACTTTCCATTTGACTTTTTTACCCCATAACCATATTTTTACACAAACAATTTATATCCAATTCGTAATTCTACATGTAATCCGATTAAATCGTAATCCCACTCATACTCCAATTGCCATGAATTTAATTCGCTACCAACAGGAATTATAAATCAAGTGTAATCATTGGTGTCTGTGAATGATTTTTTTTATTGTGTCCATTAGTTTTACGTCGTGGATATTCATTATGTCTGCGGGTGTGTCTCGTGTGGTGAATCGATGAATACTCCAATGAAACCAACGACTTACTTCGCTCCTCACGGTTCTACCCAATCAATAAACAGCTCAGGTTGTTTTTTCCTTATGGCGTTATAAAATAATTGTGCGGAACCTGATTTTTTGATTTCTCTACTCTACTGCATTCCACATTGCGGGAAAGAGTTGTGCAACTTTTTATGGCAATTGAAAAAAAAAATATCAGATGGAAATACAGTGCAAAAGGGAAACAGTGATCAATAATCTGTTATGTACGTGTAGTGTACATGTTTGGAGCAATTGTATTCGGTTTATTGTATGAAATAAGAGAAGACGGAGGGAGGCACGTACTCCCATGTGCCTATCAACCTTACCTGAGAATCGACCTACACTGCCTGATACGTGAATGGAGTACGACGCGTAAGGAGAATAAAATTGCAATGACTGGAAATATAATATATGAGGAGAGAGCGTTAGAACATTTTTATTATTAGAACTTGAGAAACGCCGCTCGGTGGAATATTATTGACATTTTCCACATGAATTCTGGTGCGATATGAGCCAGAATAGTGAGACCGAGGTTTCGGATTCAACTCTAAAGATCGATGCCACCAGGAGAATGACACTGCCAAGCAAAAAAAATCGATAGTGCAGTTTATTTTCGACGGTAAATGCTTGCCTATCCTCGACCGCTCTATACATAACAAAATAAAATAGAAAAAAAAATCGTTTGGATGGTAACGCGAGTGTATTATACTCCCGGAAGATATAACGTGGAAACGCTCGGAGACGTTTCAAACGAGTGGAGGCTTATTTTTAGCGGTTGATCTTGGAAGAGTTGCAAAAACCGGTTTTTGAATGTCCTGAGGAAAAGAGGAGACGAGAGGTGAGAGGAACGTAAGAGGAATCTTTGCAAGGGTTTACCATGAGAGAAGGGTCCACCGAATGTTTTCTGTTTTGCCGCTCATTTCTCGACATGATGTAGGGAGTAAACAGAAGATATTAATCACAGGTATTCACTCAAAATGGGCATGCCATTATGTGTCACAGTTATTCGGCTGTACAGCTGATAGAAACAA